GTAAATACATGCTGGTTGCCAAGCAGCTACATGTTGATTGTATGACCCTAAATGTCAACTCATAAAATATTTCTATGGTCCTTTTAGAGTTGCCAACAGAAAGGGAGGGGGGAGCAGTGCGGCAGCTTACAAACCGAAACTGCATTCCATAAACGTTTTCAAAGATAGTAACTAGGTGACCGAAGTTTCTGCCATGCAAAATTCTAACTGGAGAGCATGATTGATGACTCTGGGCTATGGATGTGTCCCATTGGAGAATATGGATTATGATACACCCAGGGGGTGGGGGAAAACCAGGGTCAAGGGTGACAATGAATGATGTGTCTCAGATTTGGCTATACCCAGGCAGTGCTGGACAGTTTAATTCCCAATAAATCGGGTTTTTTTTTGGAAGTTTGGCTTGAGACTCATGATTTAAATGGGGGGTAACTGCCAGAATCCTGACACTAAGGATGCTGTTACCATTGTAAGTCTGAAAACTGGACATAAGTCTCTTTTCACAGTGCTGTTTCGAACGGCCACGAAACACAGAGTTGCAAATAGGGAACTACCTGTCATAGAAGATTCCCTGGGCCATTTTCCATTCCAAATGTGTTGGCGATTGCTGCCTACAGAGAAACGAAGAGGCAAATTCCTGGCTGGTATATCTATTCATCCAAGGCAGTTCTTACCTCTATAATAAACCTGAGATATATCTCTGATTTGCTGGCTGTTTCGGGAAGCCACGATCTCAATCAGCGCCGTCTCATTAGTTCCCACGCCCTGGCAAGAAATCACATGAACAAGAGGTTCAATTTTTCCATTCAAGATTTATCTAGATTTAATCGCATCCGGCGGTCGCAGAAACTGCCACAGGATGGGTTAGACATCTCTGGATGAGATAAATGAGCCTAAAGAGATCATTTCAACATTAAAACATTTGGGGTTCTGGCAGAAGAGAAGAAACAGGATGACCTCATCTCAAGCCCAATGTTTTGTAAACGGATTTCAGCCCTTGATGGCTCTCTCCGCGAGTGAAGCTTTTATTGAAACCGCTGAAAGTCAACCCTGCCTGGCTGATTAATGCAAGCAGCCGACAAATTGTTGGTTAATGGTGTGAACTAACAAGAATTGGGGTAGATGAAAGAGCATCGATCAATTCATTCAGCAATGCGTAGCTGTTGGCTAAAAGTTAAGGGTTTTAAAATGGAGCTGCCCTCAAGAGGAATGGTGGGTGGGACACTGATGTCCCTGCAGGGGGACAACTACATAACAATAGCAGATAATCAGAGTTGGAAGGGTCCTTGTAGGTCATCTAGTCCAACTCCCCCACCCAAGCAGGAGACCCTACACCATTACTGACAGATGGAAGCCCAATCTCTTCTTCTTGAAAGTCTCAAGTGATGAAGCTCCCACAAACTTCCGAGGGCAACTTCTGTTCCATGGGTTGATTGTTCTCACGGTCAGAAAGTTTCTCCTTATTTCCAGGTTGAATCTCTCCTTGTTCCATTTCCATCCATTGTTCCTTGTCTGGCCTACATTATTAAACACGGACAGTGTGTATGTGTATATTAGGGCTGAAGCACTCTATAAGGCCTTGGTAAGACCACACTTGGAATATTGCATCCATTTTGGTCACCTCAATGTAAAAAAGATGTGGAGACTCTGGAAACAATGCAGAGAAGAGCGACCAACCAGAGAAGACCAACCAAAATGATTAGGGACTGGAGGCTAAAACATATAAAGAACGGTTGCTGGAATTGGGTATGTCTAATTTAATGACAAGAAAGAGTAGGGGTGACATGATAGCAGGGTCCCAATCTTTCAGGGGCTGCCACAAGAAAAGAGGGGGGCAACCTATTCTTCAAAGCAACTCAAGGCAGGACAAGAAGCAATGGATGGAAACTAATCAAGGAGAGAAGCAACCTGCAACTCAAGGAGAATTTCCCTGACAGTAAGGACAATTAATCAATTGAATAGTTTGCCTCCAGAAGTTGTGGTGCTCCAACGCTGGAAGTTTTTAAGAAAAGACTGAACAAGTTGTTCTTTTTATTCTGAATGCAAAGAAGATCCATAATACGTATAGGAGAGAAGAGCGGAGAGTTATAGCTTGGTCTGATGCCTTCTTTACAATATTTAGTAGTCCTTGACTTACAACCACGACTGAGCCCAAAATTTTCCATTGCTAAGCAAGAGAGCTGTTAAGTGAATTTTGTGTCTCATTCTATGACGTTTTTGTACATCATTGCATTAACCAGGTGTTTAAGTGAATCTGGCTTCTCCAATTGACCTTGTTTGTCAGAAGGTCGCAAAAGGGGATCGTGTGCCCCCAGGGCACTGCAACCGTCATAAATATGAGTCAAAATCACCAAGCATCTGCACTTTGAACACGTGACCATGATCGGTCGTAAGGATGAAAAATGTAAGTCACATTTTTTTCAGTGACGTTGTTAACTGCCAATGGTTGTAAGTCGAGGATTACCCATATTGAAGAGGCTGGCTACTCCTTAGTTCAAGGATCCCCAAACTTGGCAACTTTAAGACTTGCGGCCTTCTGGGAGTTGAAGTCCACAAGTCTTAAAAGTTGCCAGGTTTGGAGACATCTAGCTTAGTTTATGGAACGGCTTGCCTACTTCAGGAAAAGTTATTTCTTTCAAAAAGAAAAGAAAGCAAAGCTGCATCTGTACAAATTACCTCTCTCCTCTTCTAGAAAATTTGATTAAAGTGCCATTATATTAAAGTGCCTTCACGGAAAAGGAGAGAGCGACAGAAAATCGTATTTTTGCAAAGCAGAATCAAATAAAACCTGTGCCAGGAAGGATGAGTTAGGTTTAGCGTTAAGAGGAAGGCCATGGTTTATGACTTACTCTGACGGTTCGGTTAATTTGTTCAGCGTCAAATTCTGCAGGGGGCGTGACCAGAGCAACTAGGGCACGCCCAAAATCACCTGAGGTATCTTCCTTCAAAGCATCTTTCAGCTCCTTTTAAAAAAGAAAATAAAACAGAGCCAGGAATAAATCTCATTGTGAAGAATCCTGGGCAGCTTCAGCAATGGTTTCTCATCCAGTATCCTCCAGATAATCACGACTGGTGAATCACAAATATTTTAGCCCATTGCGTGTGGAGGGCATCCATTTGAGGAATACCGTAGGGCAAATCCTGGTAGAATTTGTGTTTTACTGCTTTAAAGATATGTCTCTTGTCAAAACTATTTTCTTTCCTTTATCCCAAAGGTGCTTTTTTTCAAGAGGCAACTGGACTTTCTGGTTTTTTTTCTTTGAAGACGTTTCGCTTCTCATCCAAGGAAGCTTCTTCAGCTCTGACTGAATCAATCAGAGCTGAAGAAGCATCTTGGATGAGAAGCGAAACCTCTTCAAAGAAAAA